GCTTATATGTTTATGCTAAATAATTTCATGTAGAAAAGCAATTTGTTGGCTCCCAATTTGACTTCTTTCAGCTTTATTTATTTAAAATAGTTGAATAACAAATATTTCATTGCGTGCTCTTTCACACTATTTATTTTAAAGCTGCCAGCTTAAATAAATTGTTTGCCTGCAATATAAAATACACTTGAAATATATTCATTTTATTTTTTTTATAAAATAACTTAATGCTATTAATTAAGTTTTAATCAAACATATTAATATTCATTGGCATTGCTCGTTTTTTCAAATATTTAAAATTTCGCTGGTTTTAAAATGTGCACAAGTTATGCGCACTTAAAATATTGCGCATACGCCGCGCTTAACATGCGAATTCCGGCAACTCTTTTAAACCGAAATATTTTTTTAGCCCGCATATAATATTATTTTGCATAATTTGTATACCTGTATTTTATTGTTGTAGTATAAAATGTTCTGCATGAAATGTGCAAACTATCGTTAACACTTTGCAAAGATTCGTCTATTTGGCGGAGAATTTGGTTCTTATAAGGACCCCTTTTTGTTTTTGACCAAACTAAGTTTTTGGATGGAATTTTTTAAATTACGAAAATATCTTCACAGAACCTGGCGATTGGGAGCTTTACTAATCTTTTCACATGGCTTAAACGCTACCAAGGTTAATTCACCTTTTTTTAACATATAAATTCTTATTTGAATTATTTATTTCTGCATTTTATACAAGTAATGAAAATCAGAATAACAATGCGAAACATTTTGATATGCGAAATGACAACAAACACAGAACAATAACAAACACAAAAAAAAAACAAGTAAGAGGTTCTAGACGGGAGGTCCCGACTAGAGAATACCCTGAACCCTCTTCTTCCAACATCAAATGCATATATATATTCTATTTTAGAAGCTATTTGTCAAGTTTGGTGACTCTAGCTCTTATTATTTACCAAAATTGCCCAAAAAACAAATTATCGATATCGATTTTTATTGATTGCTTGGAAACGGAGTAAGTTATCGATTATCGGAAATAAACTCGATCTGCGCGGGAACTAGGAGCATCTACATCTAAAATTTCAGTCTCTAGCTATTATAGGTTCTGAGATCCTCGCGTTCATACATACGGACGGACGGACGGACGGACAGACAGACGGACATGGCTAGATCGACTCGGCTATTGATGCTGATCAAGAATATATATACTTTATGGGGTCGGAGATGCTTCCTTCTGCCTGTTACATACATTTGGCTTTCGCACAAATACAATATACCCTTATACCCATTTTTAATGGGTTCAGGGTATAAAAAAACGACTCACAGGACGCCAAAATAAAATTTAAAAATACTAAAATGCTCGGCAATGTTTGGAATTCGCATCGGTCTGGTTGCAGTTTGCAAATTAGTTGAAAGTTCAATTATTTCGTTATGCGCGAATTCAGGTTTTTGTGGTTTTCTCTGTGGTTAAATGCCTGCTATATATTTTAAACGCAGTTGTGAAATTGTTGACAAATTGATAAATTGCCAAAGTTGGGTAGTTTTATGCAAGTTAGTGTGTGTGTGTAAATTGTAAATTATATTTACCCTTCAAATTTTTTAAGTGTAATCTCCATTAACGGGGTCTTCGTATTTCGATACCATAAAAGAGATTTAATTGGGCTTTAATTGAACAATATAAAACGACCTGTGTAAAAATATGAAAACAGTAAACAACAGCTTTGGCTAGGTAAATTAATAATTCCAGGAAAAAATGAAATATAGTAGTAACTATTTTAAATATGTAAAGAAAACGTTTCATCCAGAAAACACTTTTCCTTATATGCCTAAAAATGGCTTTGCTTTTCCCATTAAAAATGCCATAAAGTATCGCTTTTGATCAGCCACACGTAATATATAAAAAAAAAACTACTTAAGCTTATATCAGACTATAAAATATTAAGTTTTAGATAAAAAAAGTTTCTATTTTCTTGAGGAAAGGCCTAAATTGAGTTTGCCAAACTGTTACCTCTAACTAAAATGTACTGAATTTAAGCCTGAGAGCCTAGCGCTTTTAAAAAAAGATATTTTATTCATTAGATCAAAAAAATATTATTAAATTTGAATTTAAATATTTGTTGAAGAAATATATAAATGATTTGGTTTATGTTTTGCACGCAATCGCAAATTTTCTACCACTGTGCAAAAATCTCTGTGGCAAGCAGCCGTGCAACGATTTCGCGTTTGTTGTGCAGCTGCTGGGCGAAAATGTTGCACAGCATGCATAAATAATAAACGACAAGCTAGCACACACACACACACACACTCACTCACTCACTCTCACACACATACACAATATGCACATTTCGCCATTTTGCCAGCGCGCCCAACTGAGGCGTGATGTGAGCGCGCGGCCGAGGGGAGGGTGGCAGACAGGCAGCTTCTAAATTTATTTTATTAAGTCAAGCACATAGACAGCTCGGGGGATGCGGCTGGCTGTTGGCGTTGCTGATGCGTCCTGCCTTCCTGCACGCCGCTGACTAACGGTATAAATAAAATAATTTACGGTAACTGCTGCCGCTCATCAGGCGAAAGCAACGAGGAGCAGCGAGGAGGACTTAGTGTTGACAAAACCTGGCGCTGGATCATCAGCGGCGGCACCAAAATGCCGCTTACAAAAACTGTAGCATACTTTTTTGCGCTGTGCCTTTGTGTGCAGCTGCATACGAAATTAATGCACATATGCATACACGCGCGCGCGTGTGTGTGTGTGTGTGTGTGTGTGGATAAGTAAAAATGCAGCTTGCTAAATATAGTTATAATTATGCGCACACATTTTTAATTAAGTTTTGCACTGGGCCGCTGCCCGGTTTGGCTCTGGTTTAGCTAAATATTATGCATACGCCCTGTTAAATTGCATTAATGTGAGCTGCACTCATTTTTATTTTTTATTCCTGTTGTACTGACTGTCAAATTACATATGTTAAACATTTTCGCGATGTTTGCTCTAATTTATGCAGTTTTTAAAAATATTTTTACTGTGCCTTCTGGCATTGTGTGTAAAGTGTAAAACTCAGACTACTATATGGGGCTCCATGCATTTTTACTAATTACATTTAATTATGATTTTCTGGGCCTAATTGCATGTTTTATTAATATGTACTGTGAACATAAACCTAGACAAGAGGCCACACTTAAAGTGCTGTCAAATATTTCACACAGTAAAAAGCTAAGAAAAACTTCTAAACTTAAAAAAATCTCATCTTACTTGTAGTTTGCGGCTGCAGTTTATGAATGTTGATAAATATTTACAATTACCAATTTAAAAGTTCAGTTTGTTGGGCATTTCATTTGGCTTGTTTCGTCTGTTTCGCTTGCACACTTTTCTGTTTTTTAACACGAAAGTTTTTGTTTGGAAAATGCAGCTAGCAGCTAGTTTCTGCTGCTGCTGCTACTTCTTGCCGCTGCTTTTTTTTTGTTATGGCCGGAAAGTTTTAAATATGATTTTATTTGTGCAGCAAGTTGCTGCTTTTTTACATATTTGACCAGCACGCAGCTGATTTGTTCTGCGGCAAACGAAAAAAGTTGCCAAATGAAAAACAGCTGAAACTTAAAATAATGTAATGCAGTTTTTTTGGGCTCAACTTCTTCAGATGAAATCTTCCAAACAGTCTGCAAGATTAGATCTTTTGATATCTGACAGTCGAAATATTGAGCATATTTTTTGTCTCGCCTCTAAAGGGCTTGCAAGATTTTGCTGCTAGTCCAACACATTAAATGGGAAACTGCATAAACGTTTAAGCAGCCCTAAATCATGGCATGTCCTTTTCGCTGTTCCTTTTTCTTGCAACATTTTCTGCTTAAATGCTTTTGGCGCTCGTTCCTTCTCCCAGTCTCAAGTGGGCGCCGTTCCAGCTGTCTGTTGTCTGCTTCTTGCCTGACTCTATCCCTACTATCCCATTTTATACCGTGTCGAGCTGGGCAAACTTTCACCGTTTACTTTGCTCACGCTGCCACTTGCTATCTTCGTCCTTCATCGCGTCCTGGCGGCGCTTTATTTGAATTATTGTAATGATTTACACTGAAGTGGCTGCTGCAACATTTGGGGCTGGGCACAACTGAAGCGGCTAGGTAATGAGCTGCCCCAAACTGAGCTGAGCTCGGGGTTGCGTGTCTGATGGTGCATTGTCTGGCACTCGGTCTTTGCATCTCGCCCTTACACTTGGCTGCCTCGTCGTGGGTCGCCGTTATGCTGATCACTTGTTTTTCGTCTGTCACGGCTTGGCTTGATGGCTTTTAGGAATTTTCTGCGAGATTTTTAATGCAAATTCTCAGATTTAATGGCGATATCTTTATTTAACTCGAATTTTCAAATGAATCTAGTGCGATAACGCTAATAATTATATAAATAATTTTTAATTATAATAAAAACAAATTGAATAACATTACCAATTATTAAATATTATTAATAACTATTCTAATTATATTAAAGCTAAAAGTAAAGTTTGGCTTAGTTTACCTATAAATTAAGTTGAAATAAGCCTGAGACTTAGATATATAGTTATTACTAACCTTTCTCGATTTTGACCACGTGCGTTTTAAATGGGTGGAAAATTAAAAAAAAATATATACAGAAATACATATCTATTTGCAAAACTTTTAACATGCACACGCATATGTTGATGTATTCCAATCATAACACCACTTTTTTGTGGTCGAAAGGTTTCTCATGTAATGGATAGATGGAGGTCCTTTCAGGTTGACCACATGGGGAGCACAAGTCCCGAGAGGACACTCGGGTTTTCTAAGCACATATCCAAATAGAAATCTAAAGTTAATTTACATTCGCCACGTACAGCATCTTAAGAAGTCTTAAAGACAACTTAAATTTAAATCATTTTTTGCCATTGAATTGATTTATACTATTTGGAACATCATCGGAACTTGGATTAAAATATTGCATATTTGCTTTTAACTATGCGAATTAATAAGCATCAGATATAATATAGCTTAACCAATAATATGAATATTAGTTTATTATCATTTTATTGCTAGTGTGTTTTAGGCTTAGCGCAATTTTGGGTTTTAAGTACGGTTACATATTTAATGCGGCACATTTAACCAACAGCATTTCTTTGGCAACAGATAGTTGGGGTCGAGCCTCTGCAGTCGGCTGAGGGAAGCTTCACACCTTTACAAAACCCATTCTTATCCACACAATACCCGTCAGAACCGCAGGCTTAGGAAAAAAAATATTATTTTATAATAATTGTAATAAAATTATTTTGTTATATTTTTGTTCTTTACACTTACCAAGTCTTGCGGCAATTAAAAGTAGGCACATTGTCGTGATTAAATATATATGAAGAAACAAATAATAGCTGAGGAGTTGCATTGTGATTTTTTAATCTCGAATGAAGGCAGGAAGTATCATAGAGTGTAACTCAGTATATTTATGCATAACAATCAAATTACATTATAATTGTGTTATTTAGGCATGGTTAATGAGCGTCAACAGTTTAAATAATTTCTCTGGAGTAACAATACAAAACGGAACATTCAAATGCATTTTTTATTGTATATCGAATTGTGCTAATTTCTGCAAATGTGCGTTAAGTTTGTATAATTTGTATACCATGAACCCATTAAAAATGGGTATAAGGGTATATTGTATGTAACAGGCAGAAGTAAGCTTCCCCGACCCCATAAATTATATATATTCTTGATCAGCATCAATAGCCGAGTCGGTCTAGCCATGTCCGTCTGTCTGTCCGTCCGTCCGTCCGTCCGTCCGTCCGTCCGTCCGTCCGTATGTATGAACGAAAGGATCTCAGAACCTATAAGAGAGAGAAATTTTAGATGTAGATGCTCCTAGTTCCCGCGCAGATCGAGTTTGTTTCCGATAATCGATAGCTTCCTCCCTTTCCAAGCAATCGATAAAAATCTATATCGATATCCTGTTCTTTGGGCAATTTCGGTAAATAATAAGAGCAACAGTCACTAAACTCTAAAATAGAATATATATATATATATATATATATATATATATATATATTTGATGTTGGAAGAAGAGGGTTCAGGGTATCCCCTAGTCGGGAGCTCCCGACTAGAACCTCTTACTTGTTATTAGTTCAGCAAGTATAATTATATACAGTTGTATTCAAGCATGCCAAATAAATGGGCTGTAAGGGCTGAACATAGCAAAAATATGCATACAATATAGGAGTAAATATGTCAGCTTCTGGTTATTAGATACTTAAGAATTAATCCCAACTAATTACATTTCATTGTGATCCCTAATCAAAGGACAAAACTCATTGTTAGATTTAAGTTCGGAATGCTGCATTGATTTGAAGTACATTTCAAGTATTTGAGAGTAAACGTATTTATTGAGAAGTTGCATAGCTACACACTCATAATCCATTTATTTCTTGATACAAAGGCGAATTTCAATTAACTCTCAGGCAAAAGATACTCGAAATATTTGTCATTCATGTCAAAAACAAAATACTTTGCGGTCTGCCTACACGTTGTTGCAGATGCAGGGCAGGGCTATCAATAGTTTAGGCTAAAGTGCTGCTTGATATTTCTTGAAGACAATGCCACACTCACAAACACTCACCCACACTCGCACACACATACACACACACACACGCACACTTCATCTTTGCCACATTCAGGTGGCAACATGCGTAACCTGAAGTTCTCGAGCAGCTGCACCTGCAGACCAAAGTGATTTTATGTTTTATGAGAGCTGACATGTGGCAACAACAGTCACAGCAGCCACAGCCAAGCACTTGCCACATGACACTCTCTCTCTCACACACACACGCACGCTCGTGTCAGTTTCATTGTTGACTGCCCCATCATGTGCTGTGTGTTGTGTGCGTGTTTGTGCGGTTGCTGCTGCAACATGTTGTAAATTATTATAAACTCAAGTGGTTTCCAAGTGGCAGCTGCGACTGTGGCGACAGTCTCTGCAGATCATCTGCAAATGAACTGAATGGCTGAACAAACGAATTGTATTATGCTCGGACTATTCGCTTTTGTGCAGCATTTTGACATTGCATTGTCCATAATTATGCATCCTTTAAGGATCCCAATAAATTCCAATTAATTGCACATTGATTAATTTGTGCCAGAGCACATAATCTGTCTTGTACATGATACATACAGATTTTAAGCTGAATTTAAAGCAATTTTCAAACATAATTGCAAATTGGATCTTCTTTGTAAACATATATGAAATTGATTTTAATTTCTTTTAAGGTTTTCCCTATCATGAAACCTTGAACGTTTTCTCGTTTTTTTCATATAAACACATCAGATTTAATCAATTAGGGCTGGCTTTACCCAAATCAATTTTATTTTTATTTCAAAGATTGTTTTTATGTTCTGCAATTTAATATTTATGGGGAGAAACATCAGCGACTTTAAGCCTAACAGGTCTATGAAGTTGCTGTCATTCTGATTACTTAGATATTTATCTATTTTCAAATGCAATCCTTGATATAAGGACCATTTTGGATGTATTGATTCTCTTATCACCTTAAGCAAAATACTGATTTTTATATTTAATAATCATTATATTTTCACAACCCTCGCACAGACTCTCATTTGATACGGGTAAATAAGTTTTTAATTTGGGGCTTTACAGATTTGCTTTTTGCTCTTGCCTTGTTTATTTCAAGATCTTATGTTTAGCTGATTAATAATATTAATAATGCTATTATGGCCTTTGTTTCTGTACTGTCTTGTACTTGCATTCTGCATTCATGCATTGCTGCATTCCCCAATTTCCGTATAGCATAATACCCTATATATATATTCGTGGCTCTCGAAATCGCGGCTCTGAGCTAACGTTTCCCTAATTTATGCCATGCTGCTGGCAATGCCAACTCACTTAATTTGCAGAGCCATTTTTCTTGCCCGGGCAGCGACAACAACCGGTGCCCGCGACACCGTGCCAGGAGTGCTCTGGCATATATCCCTATGCTCTGTGTGCCTCCCCCTTCTGGACCCCCGCGAGCAAAGTGACAAACAACTAAGCGAAAATCGCGTGCGTGACGCGTGGCGGGCGCATAAAGTTTGTGACACGTTTCCACAGTTGCACTTTTCTTGTTGTTGTTGTTGTTGCAGTTGTTGCCTTTTTTTGGACCAAAGGCAGAAAAAGTTGTTCACAGCACGTGGATAAAGGGTTCGCGGCGTAAGGACGCGGGATGGTGAGGGGTTGGTTGCTGATGGCGACACTTTAGAGCCGCGTTGCATACTTTTGGGGCGTCATGCAAGTCACGTTAATTTCGCCAGCGAGCTGTGAAGCAAAACAAAAACAAAAGCAACAACAAGTTGTTGTTTCAGTTGTTGTTCTTGCACAACTTTGGCCATTTTCAAAGGGCTTAAAGGTGGACTCGCATTCAGCTCTTGGCATCTTCTAGACAAATCAAAGGGGTACAGCATTATCATAACTTTACGCAAAAATGTAGAGTCTAAGACAGTTCGAAATATAGTTCCGATCTTAAGTCAGTGTTGTCTATAGACTGATTTCTGGTACCTAAGATGTTTTCACTAAACGTGACCTAACATTTAATTAAAGTAATTCTTATTTATTATATCAACAATATACTTATTTTTATTCGCCTATCAATAACTTCGCTTATTATCCAAAAGGTTCGAATTGGCCAAATCTATGTTCTAAAATTATAAAATCAATCAACATCAAGTCTTAAATATTTATAATTATTATGATTGTTCCAAAGATGATCGATTTCATATTTTAGTAACTTATCGATATCTTTTTGAATTGTTATCCCGAATAGCTTACCAACCAATTAATATATGTTTGTTGATTGTGATATAAACTACTGCAACTTTCAGGGCGCCCATTTCGTATAAATTACAGGGTATATCTGTTGCTTACAACTTATGTGGCCACGCCCACAGCCTCAATGGGCCGCTCATTAAGCGTCTTTAGTGTGTTTATATAATATAAATTAGCTTAATTTGAAAACATTTTTTGATGCCAAAACTTTGGCACTTGGACGAGACAGACAGAAGAACACACGGGGCAGGGGTGTAGAGGGATGGGGGAGATGGCGTAAGGGAGCAGCTGGTAGCTAGTGTCTTGGCTTCCAGCTTGGCTAATTTATATGCCCGTTGGACATTCTCGAGTCGGCCAAAAAGTTGCCGCAACTTTTTGCCAAGTCGGCTGCGGCGTGTCTCCGATTCCTGTTGCGGGTTAATAAGACGACGACGATGGCGGGCAACAAATTGCGAACATTACTCTTGCCGGGCATGGGTGAGGACCGGAGCTGGAGCTGGAGGGGAAGATGCCAGCAAATAGACTTTTGAGTGTTGTACTTGGCATGGTTGTTTTGTTGACTTTGGGCAGCCAGCGCGGTGGCGGGGGCGGGGCAACAGTCTTTGAAAGTGTCAAAAGCGCAGGCAATTAATTTGGCCTAATTAGACTCTTGGTTGACTGCTTGTGGCTGAGAGTGCAATTTTTGTGGCTTGTCAAAGCCTTAGCCAAGTTGAAAAGTAGCCACGAACAATGGATTTTTGCATGTTGAGCGATTTATGGCTTACCAAGTTTATTAAGCTGGCCAAATTTACAAAGATTTTGGTGGCCAAGCGCAAACCGTGGATCACAGGAGACAATCGTAGTTACTTTCTTAATTTATGAGCTACCACAAGAAACTGGAGGGTTATACTCTGAAGGGTTATTTAATTCCCAAGAAGCTAAATGGTAAAGTTAAAATAATGATTTATACATTTTACTATAGACGATTGAAAAAGATGGTTATGTAAACTGGATATAATATTTAAGAATAGCATAGAAAACATTAAATATGAAACAAATGATTGTTTTCTTATATTTTATATATGAATATTATATTAAATATTTTAATATAGAAAATTTACAAACATTTTTTGGCATGGAAAACAAATTTTTGGAAAAAGAGTAAAACATTAAAATATAAATAAGAAGCGACTTGTAAAGATTTGATTAATTAATCACATTAATATTTTATAATATAAATAACATCAATTACTGTGAGTCTGTTAGAAAAAAGGATATCCAGAAAAAATCATGTCATTAATAACAAAATAGAATCGAAATTTGTAAACATTTTTCTAGATTCTAATAGTATTAGGTTCAGATAGATTTTGTTCAAGCAGAGAAATGGATCTTATACTATGTGTGATATTATTTGAATCTTACAAAGCTTCAGCTGAAATATTTTTAGAAAACTTTTAAGCATGTTATTCAACATTTTACATTTGATGAAAGAAAAACTTTTAAAAAGAGTTTGCACACTTTTGTTGCCATTAACAGTCCCAGCAAGCTCCACATTTCAGCAACTCAATGGCCACTGATAATTTTGGCCAACTGCATTGCTGCTGCTGCTGTTGGTCTTGCTGCAAATGCAGTTTAGGCCAAGTCGTAAGAGTTTCAGATATATTTTTGTCGGCCAGGCCATAATTTGCTTAACAACTTTTGGCCAATGCTTGGCCGGCAGCTCGGACGCTTCGCTTTGGCACTTGGCCAATTCCTTTGCAGCCGTTCGACACTCGCCGCTTATATAATAATTTTGCGGCATAATTTATTGCTGGCAAAAGTTTTCTGTGGCTGCCCAGCCGCACAATTGCCACTATAATGTCGTCCCGGGCATTTAACATTTTACTCGGGCGGCCACATGCCAAAACTGTTGTTGGCCTGGCCAAAACTATGCACCGTAGCGCCATAAATTTGTTATTAAATGTTGGCCCTCTTATCGAAAGGACATGCAAAACTAGAGACCGCCTCCTAACTGGGCGGCAAACGTCAAATTGATTTTAAATTGCAGTCTTCGCAAGCAAAAAAAAAAAAAAGAAAAAAAATTAGAAAACTTTGAGTCAAATTCCGTTTCAAGTTTAAGTTACAATGGAAATAACTACTTCGACTGTTTACTGAATATATTACCAATTCGAAGGATCACAACTTAAATAAATAATTTGAATATTGCTTTTATTTGACAGTCTCAATCAGCCGAATAGGCATGTCTTGTTTATATATAGCTTCTTCCCTTCAAAAGATTCTTAAAAAACCTTTTTGATACCTGATCAAGTAAATAAATATCTGACACTTTTGTTGATTTGCCTGGCTCAAAATAAAGTGGGTGTAAGTTGTTTAAATTACTTAATAAACAAATAATCAATTAGCAAGAGCTTGCAGCAAATTGAGTTGCAAGTAAACGAGTAACTTATTACTTATACGATTCTCTCTATTTATTTGCAAAGGCATTAGCAAATTAATCTTTCAATAGTTAGACGCATTGCTAAGCATGAGCACTTATATTGTTGATTCATGTATGTGGTGTATATATTTAAGTATTTTTATGAGTATTTACATACTTAAGTACATGAGTATTTGTATTGCCAGCCTGCTGCACTGGCTTGTGGTTGTAAACATTTGAGCTCCCACTCGTTTGTAAGAAGTCCGATAACCGATAGGCAGTTGAGGTGCGATGAGCACAAATGTTCCCCCACCCCTGACTACACCGTGCTGATAAGCAATGCGACAGCCTTTGTTTGTTTTGTACCCATTAGAAAAACAGTTGAAAGGGGTGATACATATTTGTTGCGCATGTATGTAATAGGCAGAATGATGCCATAAGGTACACGTATCTCTGTGCAACGAGCTGGACGGATCAAGCCATATTCAGTGATCTCAGAATCCTTACAAGCCAGAGGCATATCTATCTCCCGTATATCAATATCTATATCCAAGCCAGCTACGGATCCTTAAACACGGGGTATCTCCTAGTCGGGCAATCGCGACTAGAGCATTCTGTTTTTGTTGTTTAAATTGAAATTGAGGCAGCCGGGTGAAGCTAATCGTGAGACAAACACACGCACACACACACGCAATTGCACACACTTGTAAACATGTATACAAATACTCACGTTAAACAAGCTGCTCACTTTGCGAAATTTTCTACTCCAAAGATCTTTGAAGCGAGCAAACAAATGAATAAAAAGATAAAGATGATTATTAAGCGTGCACAGCGGAAGGAGGAGGAGGAGGCGGGGCAGCGACACAGCTAGCTACAAATTGTGAGTCAGAGACACAAAGATTGAAGTGGAGAGCGGGCGCAACTTGTTTGGGAATACGAAAAGACGAGACGAACAAAAAATTACTAACTTAAAAAGCAAAAACTTGTCATGTGAGAAAAAGAGCAACAACAGAAACGGAAAACAAAAACATTAATGAATGAGCTGCGGCAGAACTAAGATACAAAGAGACAGAGAGAAAGAGAGAGAGAGAGAGAGAGAGAGAGGTTGAGCGAGTAGGTAAAGACAAAGCTCTGCTCGCTGCTGCCAACAGGTGAGCGCAACGAAAAGCTAGCTAAAGCCGTCGCTTGCTCAGTTGAACGTTTGCAGTCAATACTAAAGGCGGCCGCGGCAGCATCAAAACTTGAAACGTGTGAGAACGAAACACAGCAAAACGGTAAAAGGGCTTTAGCTGAGCGCAAGCTGAGCGGAGCGCGCCTTTGAGCCAAGCTAAGCTGCGCTTTTTGTTTTTGGGTGTGCCGCGGCAGTGTGACGAGAACGCGTGAGCAGCCAACACGTAAACGACGCGTTGTGCGCTGCGCCAACAATAAAAATCAGTTAAAAATACACAAGCAACAACAGCAGCAGCAGCAGCAGCAGCAGCAGCGGCAGTGGCAGCGGCAGCAACTCAAGTGTGAATTGTTATTGAGGTTATGTAAGCGGCAAAAGCGAACTAACAAAACGCAAAAACAAAACGTATTCGCTCTGCGAGCCAAAACACGTTCAATTACAACAATTTCAGACACGCGTCAGCCTCGCGCATTCGCACATTCCTTAAAATTATATAAAAACCTAATGGAGCACGAGGCCAAAGCGCAGGCGCAGGCGCAGGCGCAGACGTCGACAGCGACTGCGACTGTGACGCCAGATCATCCGCTGCAAGATGTGCCGCTAGATGGCAGCAGCAGCGATTTGGCTGCAGGCGATGACGTACAGCTGACGCCCAAAAATTGGGTTAAATTCGACGACGAGACGGACAGCAGTGAGAAAAATAATAACAGTAACAGTAAAACTGGCGACGGCAGTGCCGCACAGCAGCAGCAGCAGCAACAACAAAACAAGTTGGCGCTGCCGCCACCGCCACCATCTGTGGTCAGCAGCAACAACAAGAGACGCGCGCGCTCGCGCAGTCCCAACGAGCAGGCTTCGGCAGCAGCAGCAGCTCCATCACCTGTGCAGGTTAGTCGCTCTCTGCCTCTCTCTCTCTCTCTCTTTCTCTTTGGTTCGTTTTAAGTAGTTACGCTCTCTTTGGCGGTATCTCTCACGTGCTGTGGCTGACCCAACGCAACGCATTCCAATGCATCGCACAGTATGCGTTACCTCTCTCCCTCTCCGCACCCGCTCCCCGCACCCGCACCCCTTGCCCTGCCACCGCGTTATCGCTACGTTTCTTTGCGTTTCTCCGCCTTTTCGTTGCCTAATGGAGTTGTTAGCAGCGGTACTTTGCCTCTGCTTCTTTGCGTTGCCTTCTGATTATTCTTTTGTGTCACGTTGCACGCATGACAAATGAGGTAAGGTTAGGGACTGTCCGCCGCCTGCAACAGTGGCAGCAAGGCCTATTTGGCTGATTACTCATCGAAAATACGAAGCGACACGTCATACTCTGTACAAGGCTTGTGGAAAGGGATTGTTCGATTCGTTCAAGTGCATGCATGAATGGAAACGTGAAATTTTTGGGTGCATTAGGGTGTACAGTCAGAACTTTTAAATGCGAATACTTTACAAAGGCACTGTTATAAATTTCACTTGTTGTGGACATACAAAGAATGAGTAGTTTATTTTTCGAATGCCTATGGGAGAACAAAGTTATTCTTATTGTTATATCAGAAAGCAAAACAGTGTAAAATATTTATTTGCATACACATTTCATATAGAAATAGTATAGAAATATTGAGTACTTTTCCACACCCAAACATTTTTTACCCTCAATGATGTATTGACTATTAATCAAATTGCAGTGTATAATTTTATTTTTAGTAGACTGTTAAACATGCACCGGCACATTGCAGTATGTTAATTTTATCAGTAAATTATTCCACAGCTCTAAAAAGTTAATTCGCAAAACAATCTTAGTTAAGTGGAATATACAAAATGTCTATGCTGGAATGACACTTCCATATTTCAATGCGATTATTAAAATAAAAGAAGAAATGATAAAACAGAAATTTAGTTCAAGTTATCGCCGTTTTAATCAATTTGCTTTGCAAATTATTATTAAACGTCTGATGCCAAAATAAATAAATATAGTTTGATCGCAGTATACATTATAATTATAAAGTTTTCTGTTTGTTTTGATATGCAATGCTATTTTAGAGCTGTTTTGTAAAGAGTTTATCTTCACCTGTCCACGATTAATAAACAAAATAATGTGCAAATACATCAACAATTCAGTCATATAAGTGTGACAGTCAGCAGGTGCATGAGAATGTATATCTGTTGTCCATACTTAAAAGTATCTCGAAGACGCTTGCTTATTGACTTTCATCAGTTCAGTTGCTGTTCTGTTTTTTTTTTTTTTTTTTGTCATATCAGCGGAGTGTGAGATAAAAATAATATACCCGGCATTTGTTTAAATATTACTCCAGCTTTATTTTTATTATGATTGTAATAAAGTCAATATTTATTTGTTGCTTATTTTTGCTCATTTCGCAATATATACCCGGGTTTTCGGGTTGCTTGAAATTTCAAGCAATCCCAAACACAAGCTGTCAACACTGACATTGACATAAATACGGAAAAAGCTTGGTGCGTTTCTTAAGTAGTTAGAGAGATAAACATTTAAAGAGAAAGGATTATGATTAGATTATAATCTGCTTTTGTTGAGTTTGATGTGAAGATACATATGTTGCTTTTATGCAGTGCATTTTAAAATTGGCAATTAAGTGTTATATTCCAGGTATTGATGTGCTTATCTACTTAGATGCATTGAATATATCTACGAGCACTTGCTTGTACAATCAATTAGTCCCCACCTAAAAGCTAAAGGCTAATTGCACTATTTTGCGTGTTATGATTCAACATGGTTTGTGGTGCATTAAAAGGGTTTTATTTACGAAGTGGTATATTTCTCTAAGACTTTTTAAGCTTAAAAAAGAAATACCTTTTATTATTATTATTGATTTACAACACTGGATGTGGTGGCTGTTAACTAGTAGAAGCTCATGTTAATGCTTACTATCTAGTTTTTTTATATATAATTAATATAATCTTTCCAGTAGGTAAAAAAATATTAAAATATAATAGCTATTATACTATTTTCTTTATAATCATCATCAATTTCACAGATCAGTCGTAGATACCCAACAGCATTATCTTGAGCTTAAATTTACAAGCAGACATGTGGGCGGCTTCTGTTTAGGCAAAACAAAGTTAAGAGATTTTGAAATACATTTTTAGCTTGCAAGAAAAACACATATAACATTCATTGACCTTCAGGAATAGAGTATATTTTTGGATCTATGACCTTGGTAGTAGACTTTGGTCTAACTGCTCAGAGAGACAGATAGAGAGAGAGAGAGAGAGAGAGAGAGAGAGAGACAGAAAACTGGCATGCTATAATAAATGTATAGCACGCTATAGATCAATTATAGAAAACCTCAGCTGTTGCGCGACTATTTTGAGTTGTTGTTTTTTTTTTTTTTGGTGCATTTCAACGTTTGCCAGCACCTTTTAAAGCGCAGTACGTAGCTCCCCATATCCGCTTTGGGGTGCTGAGCTGCGTACGTGCAAAATGGCAAATTGTTTTCGCTTTTGCAGCACCTGATGTAGCAAGCGTCGGCTGTTGCTCAATCATCTATATATATTTTTTATAAATACCGCTGCATTGTTAAGGGTAAATCAATAAAATTGATTTTCTAGCGCACATTTGCATAATTCCTTCTGCCTCTTTGTCATATTTTTTACCACTTCTGCGTTATCTTAAGGCCAAGAACGTTAACCCATTGTTTTTATATTCTACAGCGTGCTGCAGTTTCCTCCACAACAGCTGGCGCAACGTTGTCGGATGTGACGCCGGCTGTTTTGACAACTGAGAGCACCCACGTTAATCTGAATGCATCCGGTAGTGGCAGCAGTCCCCCTCGCCACCCCCAGCAGCTAATAAACCAAAAAGCAACTGCAGCCTCGGCCGCCGCCTCGGCCGCAACAACGTCGACCTCGGCCTCGTCCTCGACAGCAGCTGCAGCGACCGCTACTCATCCAAATGGCAGTGGCATCAGCAACAACAACAACAACAACAATACCAGCGGGAATGCCAGTGGCAAGAGCGTCTCCATACCAGTGGATCAGGCCTCTGGTATGCGCACAATTGAATTGTCAACGGGCCGCATCCGTGAGGGTTTCGGTAAGTACGCCTCAAAATTGAAACTAGAGTCAACCCGTTCTTTTTTTTAAACCTTTGTAGGATATTACAATATTGTCAAGAAGTGCCAATTGGCATATAAGTGAAAGTTTTCGATCCAATGATGTCTCAACAGTCGAAAGTCTCTCTGTATTTATGCAAGCTAGTCTCTCTCTAGATTCATTCCCGTTAAATATTGCATAGATCCGTCTCTCTGTTGTAGGCAGTCTATATGTGTCGGCATTGGCTGGATCGGAGCACTACATAACACAGTTGATATAGGAAGAATCGGTCAGAAACTAAGTTCTTGTATGTTTCAAAATTCTCTTTTCATAGCATAGCATGAGCATATTATTTTATTACCGGCCCACTTTTCATATGGTATATAAAGCTCTATAAATTGAATCGGTTGAAAATTTAACTTTGTATGCACATGTCTGCAAAACCCCGTCAAATAGTAATACTATATAAAAGGACTTCTATAGAAATCGGTCTTGAATAAAATCATTATTAAGAAATCCTTCTAAGCAACATGACACCAAGTGTATTTCCCCTTCGCCCATGATATTCGAAACAACATTTTATTTTTTAACATAAAAATTAATCCAATGAATCACAAGCATATATAAATGCACACATCTTAAATCTCTCCTTCCCATAAATTAAGAAAATAAATAGACAATTAATTTTAAATTATAAAAATATAATATAATAATTTAACGTGGTTTTCTTAATATGTCTTAAACTAGATTCTCTTTTATTTTTTTTTTAATGAGAATACGAATCGGAACTCCCGCTCTCTTTTAACTATAGACCATCGTAGCCCGTAGTACATTTCTGCAGCACATACTCCCTACCTGTAGCTCAGTGTAAGCCAACTCTTAAGTTGTTGTTATTACTTCCAAATGTCAAAATTGACTTGAATTATCTAGAGGATGTGGTGACACCTTGTAACTCTCTCCTCTCTGTTCCTGTTCCACCCACAGCTAATGGAGATGTGATTGTCACACTTCTGCCGGCCAACACGAAATGGCCTTGGATAACCCCGGCCATATTTCGTCCGGAGCTGGTGCCCGAGGAGTTGATGGCACAGGGTTTGACGGTAAGTGGCTAGTCAATCAATCAACTGTTGCGCTGGCTTTGGTCTAAGCGCCCCTCAAACGTCTAACTCCCCCCTTTGCTCTTCCCTGTGCAGCTCACTGTGGAGGACTATGTGAATGCAATGGAGACGCTGGTCAATGACTATCGCTTCACAGTGTACAACATTTGCTATAAGCGCATCCTCGTCTGCTGGATACTGTTTGCCTTCGCTGTGCTGCTCGCGCTGCTCTTCTCTGGGCTGCAGGGCGTGGCACTCTTTGCCCTGGGCGTCGGCTGGCTGTTCCTCAATGCGGCGGCCATATTTCTGTGCATGTGGATGAAGCTGCGGCTGTCGCGCGGCCTGGAGAAGTGTCTGGCACGCGTGAATAAGCAACTAATGCGGCACAAGATTTTGCTCGTGCTGGACGATCGGGGCCGCATCTCCTGTCACAAGGTCAACTTGTGCTTTATGTACTTTGACGCGACGCAGTGTGTGAGCTTTTTAAACGAGTTTCTGGAGCACACGGAGCAGAATGGCGGCGAGGCCATTAAGGCGGGCTGGGAGGCCAAGCTGGACATTGATGTCAATGATATTGTCATACAGGGTAGTCAGCCGGTGCGTCTATCCCGCAAACAGGTGAGTCTGAAGCTTCTTGGGCTTTCACACAAACACGGCTCATGTAGACAGCTCTGCTGGGCTTTAAAGCTTTCAGAAGCTTGCTAGTTGTATTTGTTATTTCGCTCATGCTCATCGCTAGACACTGACACTTGCTTTTTGGTCTCTCCCACTCTCTTCTGTCTCTCGTGCGCTCTCTCTTCATCTCTCGTTCGCTCTCTCTTTCTCTGTACATTGATCATGCATCATGCTCACGCATTCTCTCTTTTGTCTCTCACGCACACCGACACTCTCACAAAAATACTCACAACTCTCTTTAGGCCTTTGCCCAGGAGCTGTTTCTTAGCTACCTGCAGCGTTGGGGCAAGGACTTTCTGCGCCGCCGCCTCGACTGGACCGTACAGGAGGCGGGCGTCCATGAGACACCACGACATCTGCAATCGTCAATTTGCCCATGCCAGTATGAGGAGGAGCTCTTGCGTAACAAAATCAAAATCAGTCTGCAACATCGCCAATGCTGCGGCATCAATTGCATGGGCTGCTGGCTGTAGGCGTGGCCGATAGCGATAAAATCGATATATCGAAATTCTTCCTTTCCGTGTTTGCTCCAGTTACAATCGGATTGTAATTTAATACTTTTATTTTATTTCCCCTATAATTTTTGTGTGCCTATTGTGAATTCTACGAATTAAAAGCTGTTGAAAACGAAGCTAAATTATTTTTAATTTAAATTTCATATTTATAAATTTGCCATTTACATTTTATTTTTTGATTTTGTTTCAGCCAAAAAGTATGCTGCACATTTTTGTATACTCATACGTATTACACATACGCACTGTCTAACATGCACTCTTTTATTTTCATAACATTTAACAATTTATCCACCTGTTAACTAATCTGTTGCCTGTTTGCTTTACCTGTCTCACCTGCCTTTTCATCTAAATCTACTTCCTAGGAGCGCGGCCTGCAGCTGTTCCTGCGCTACGGCTCCCGCTGGGGCATGGAGGCGCTGCGCGGCCTGGTCGATGTAACGCCGCTGGAACCGGGCCGGCATTGCGGCCAATTTCAGTGTCCTTGCCAGTACATTAAGGAGCATTTACAGTGCAAACCGCGAGGCAAGTTCAAGTGTTGCAATTTTGTACATTGGGTGTTGGCATGTGAACGCTACGATTACTAAACAAAAATCAAAGAATAATATTCAATTCATGAATACTATTTCGACATGTGTACATACTAAGCATGCTCTATGTCCTTGAATGTTACATAATGAATTCGCCGATACAGGAACCTGTAGCTAATTAATACCAATCCAATATTTGCCAGCTGCTTTTTAAGTGTATTTCTGATTTTCTCCTTAATTTGGCTTGACATACAAAAATACCAAAAAATACCAAATTTGTTGCATTCCCGAATTGCTTGAATATTGTACACAAACAAAATAGAAACTATAAACTTTCTCTCGTTTCAGATGTTAGTCCATAGCCAAGGTAATAATATTGGTACATTTTGGTATTATATGTTGGCAAAACTCTTTCGATTTTACTTCTCACACATATTACTTACTCTCACTACAAAATAACCTCTTAATTAGATTCTTACTTAATATATACAACTATATTTTTTCAATAATACATTTCTTTTTATGGCCACGCAATAAATAAAACACAGTTGCCATAAACAGCATGGGCCAGGTAGTTTGGACACGTTTTACCCTCTTTGGTGGCAATTATGCATAATTAAAAAAAAACTCAGTAATATGCGTAGACAAAAATTAAACAATTACTAAGCCTTTTCGATTTTATCAAATTTAAATTTAAATTCAAAACAAAAAGAATTTCTATACGAATTTACGTTTTTGGAAAAGCAAAATTGTGTTTGTTTTTTTTTTTTTTTTTTCTGTATTTAGCCTTGTGTTTGTCTATTGTGAACTTAAACTGTATGCATTTATTCTGGTGTCATTTAAAATAAATATTTGATAAATGTTCATAAATGTTATTGTTATTTGCTGTATGTTTTATTTTCTTTACATGTTTTATTATTTATATTTTGGGCGTTTTTCAACGAACGCCTTTTGCAGGTTATCCATGTGCTTGCATTGTCTATGGTTCGGATCCCAGTTTTCAATATCGTTACTAGCTTGTTCACATATGCATATATATGTGTCTGTTAACTGATCCAATTGGCTTATTCTCATCTGACATATAACTACATTATTTAATCCCTGTGCAATTGCGTTTCTCTTGTATTGAAACTCACATATTTTTATAATTAAATAAAGTCTACAAATATGTTTTATGTGAATTAACCAGCTCTGATCAATTTCTTAAAGGTATAACAAACTGAATACCTTAAATAAATAGTCAAATATTTAAATGTTGATTGCAGTTCAAACTAACTTTTGTTGTGATATTGAATGACATTTTAAGTTGAAAGCCACTCAAATAACGCAAAATATTTAAGTTAAACAAGTCAAGTTCTTGCAATATATTTATTCATGAAAATTATATAAACATAAAGCTAATCATTTTTCAACTGCAGCCATATTCATTATTTTGAATGGTAATTTTTGTTTAACTTAACATACGCAGAAAAAAAAAATAAGAATATATAATAAAATAACAAACACCTATAAAATAGCCACTGCAAAGCGACATGCAATATGAATTTGGAAAATAAACAATTAAAAATTGTTGGCGTTCATTTGGCTAAAACAAAAACTTTGCTTTGTTGCACATTTCGCACCGAGTTTGGCTGAAAATTGTATGTTCCATGAATATGGAACGTACGACGGTTCTTTCGGGCACCCTCGGAAAATGGTGTGTGTGTGTGTGTGTGCCATTTGCATAGTTTTCACAATTTTCCACAATTATTGCATTATTTTTTATTGCATAATTCAACTTTACGTTTGCCACATTTAAGCCACGTTCATGTTGGTAACAAATTTGTGAACAAGTTTGTTGCCGTTTTTGTTGTTGCTGTTGTTGCTGTTGTTGTTGTTATTGTTGTTGTTGTTGTTGTTGCCACGTTCGCCTCGTTTTGAGTTGCATGTGTAATGAGTCATTAACATGGTGCAGAGAAGTTATCATAAATAAAATACTTTAATTTCATTTTGTTAAATTTTCTGCATTCAAATTAGGTGCCAGGCGATTTTATTTTTGTTGATTTTGCTGCACTATCGAAATTTTTGGCCATATACCGTAAATTACGACAAACATTTTTAATGGATATACTTAGTGGGAATGTTTAGTTTTTTCGACTTATAAAGGTGAGTAAATGTTGTTAAAATATTTTCCACATAAGTTGACATTTAAATTAAATTTGTTATATAAAAATAATTCAATATGTCAGATACATTAAGAAATACAAGCTTATCTTGTTTATTTATTTTAACATTTTATATTTTATTGTATTTTATATTCTAATTGTATTTCTCGTTTCTTTGACATTTAAGAATTAAGTCACTAGGAGCTTAAATGTGTTCCGATAGAAAGATAATTTGGTCTTAGTCTCTTACTTTTTATAGTTTGAATGGAATATATACAGGCGGGCTTTATAATATATATAGATATATATGATGGATTATTGGATATGCTTGCTTCAATGCGCAAAACACATTTTGAAAAGTCCCTGATTTTATAAGCAATAATCAAGCCCAAAAGCGAGTCGAGTGCTGAACAGTATTTGTTGTTTTAACTATTTGCCAAATGCGATTTTACGCTCTAATAAAATAAACGCAAACTTTTGCAGAAGCGTGTAAAAAGAATGCACCATTAAATGTTGTTAGACTTCATTAAGCTTGAGCAAAGCTCCCAGCAATTTGTTTTTCAAACTGCACTTCAAATAGCGAGCCAAAAAATATAAAACATGGACTAGAAAACGGTCCAAGGCACATAAAACAACGGAATCTAGACACCAATACCACCGCGTGTAAACTAATCACAAACAAAACAAACACACAAACTGGAGGCTTATCAAAGTTTCGGCAGTTTTTCGGGAAATTCAATTCAATTGTGCGATTTTCATTTGAATTACAGCAATCAAAAAGTGCCTCGACTGCTGCGGCTCCTGTGGTTCAGGAGGCAATCACAGGGTTGTGATTTGCTTGTGGGCGTGTTTTTGAGTGGTTTTTTCTGCACATAAAACAAAAGATGAGAAATTTAGTAAACACCACAGCCCATGCTAGCTACCTGTTTTTTGATTTTCAATAACCTATACTCGATAGTTTCGATAACGACGACTATCGATAATGCCAAAGAAAGGGCAATCCTTGATAAAAAAAAAAACGATAACTTCGTCGATTGTTTTGCAACACTTTATTTCTGGTCTCAACGACCAATCTCCGTCATTTTTAATTATGCCCTATAATTTCTATCGATATTTAAATGTAACCATAAATAGAATAGTTTTTTTATTTAACTTAAAATAAGTTACGCCACAACTATTTTGATCAGTCCTAACTATTTGCCAGCTTAGCTAATTTAGTGCGCTGCTTTGCATCCAATTATTTCATATATGAAAGAGCATACATTGTTCGTTGTATTTATTTGTAATGCCAGCGTTTACCACCTTTTTGGGGGCAATATCATTGTTTCTGTAGCTGTTGTCGACGCTGCCGCCGCCGTTTTTGCATTTATTTTGCGGCTAAAACTTTAATTGAGTTTTAAACCATTTTGCTGGCTGTTGGCCCAGCGCCGCAACGAGGATTGTTTGTAATACATGTGTATATGTGTGTGTTAAAAAACTGGTGTACTGTTTGATGGGATCTGCTGTTGCTCCAGCTCCAGTTCCAGCTGCCGCTGCCTCGGCCGCCGCTGTTGGGCGTGGGCCTTGCACTTATTCCGTGAACTGCGCTTGAGTGATGAGTTTTTCGGCGAATTGGTTTTTTTTTTTTTGGGTTGGTGGAGGGGGGATTCTCTGGGGTGCTGGGCGGTTCCGTTTTGGTTGCACTTTAAAAATTTCAAATGTGTTTTGTTTTACGCCCAAATGGCACAAATTTGTTGTATTAAGTTTGTTTGTGTGCAGCAGCAGCTCGTTGAGCTTCAATAAGCTGCTGCCGCGGGCCCACAGGTAACGCATACGCCCCGTGCACCAAACAAATTACAGCCATTTAAGTGATTTTCGCTAATGTTATTTGGGGCGTTGGTGCAAAAAGTTGCATACTAAGCGCATTTCGGTGCTTTTGTTGTTTTATTGCTGCTGCCAACTATGCGGGTGTGTGTTTTTGTGTGTGGGTGCGTGTGTACGAATAACTTTTTGTTTATTACGAGAGTTTACCGCGTGCACTCTAAATGAAATACCGGGAAGATAGTTTAATCCTTACCAAGTAAACGCTGTTAATTCAATTATGCAACTAAATAGCAAAAGTTCTTTGCCAAAGACTGAGAAAATGAAAATAAATATTTAGATTTACTTATGTTTAATAAGAGAATAATTTAGCCTTAAGTGACACAAGTTTATTAAAAATACGTTTGCTATAAATCAAGGTTGTTTAATATAATAGACATTTTATAATATTTGCTGAAGGTTGTTTAAGTCGCGTGTATTAATCATGGCTTTTTTGGAAGGCAAGTCAACAGTTTGTCAGTATAAATATTTAAGCAAGTATATGTACATATCGCATTATGGAATTAAGTTAAGGCGGGAACACACAAAACTACAAAATGTAAAGACATAAAATATTGGGCAACTGTTAAGCGATGTAAAAGTTGAGAGGATGCACGAGGTATTGTCGCAAAATGTTTGCGGCTTTCTGCAGAATCATAAACAGGTAACATACCCATAATAAATAAGGCCTTAAATCCTTTAAACAGGCACCAGCGAGTGTCCAATATGAAACCGAAAACGCTGACCATATATCATCATAAAAATAAACCAGACATAGGCCAAGCGCAGGAGAGGGGTGGGAACAGCAGGCAGAACTACTGGAACGGCTGCAGACGCGTTGCAGCTATAAAACATTAGTCAAAAACATGAAACATGGAAAGGTGGGCCACTGTCGGTGCTGGGGATAGAGTTCGGGCTCTGGTTCGGGTTCGGGTTCGGTGATCCTGGGGCTCCCAGGACTACAATCAACATCATTAACGCGTGCTCTAAAAGCCATTTATTTAGACGCAGACATGAGGAGCCATGTTAAAAATGGCAGTCGCTGCTCGAGTATGGGGAAACTATAAATTTAACGCTTTTAGCATAATTGCAGGAGCATGTGCGTGTCCCGCAGGACAAGCACAGCTCGAGGGCTTAGTGGGGATAGCCATCAACGCTTAAGCGTTATGATAAGTGGCCAGCAAAGGATATCAGCGTCAACACGCACTAAGTTATTGCCCTATTGGTACATCCTTTCGTACTGCCCATCCAGGGCTATTAGCCATAAATGACGCCTGCTCTCAGTGTTGGCGTTGGCATCATATTACTTGGCCATTTAATTGCCGGCCGCTTTTGACCTTTATCAAAGCCATGCTGCAACTTAATATACTGTTGAAGCCTAACCCTTCCAGGACAGCAAACACTTGACGGGCAATTTGCGGGCCACCTCAAGCCATAAGTTATATGAACAGTCTATCGATTTAGCTAACCAGACTCCTTCCTCGTTTATTTATCGCCTGTCTAATGGATACAAATTAGGTCAACCGAGTAGATTTTTGAAGGCAGGCTGAAATCATTTTGCGTACGCTTTTTATGGCCACTGCATAATGCACGGGCTCAATGGGGCGTATGCGTGATTTATGCCTTTTGGCTACGTTTTAATTGCTGCGTTTGCTCTGCTCGCAATTATTGCGTATTGCTTGAAATACTGCTCTCAGCTTTCATTTCTAAGCCAACAAACCTACGATTCTTCTTGGGTCGCGAAACAATTCTGAGCACTAGGAATTTTGAGATAAAAATAGGAACATATAAAAGCAATATTATTCCTTACTTATTTCAAAGATATCCTATGTGTCTTTTGATCTGAAAAAGAACTAGACAATTGATTTATTTTGAATGAACTTTTTCCTTAAAATATTCTTATATACATATATATAAATAATCAGATAATATATTATAATGTTGTTTAAAATGGGAATAATAACCAATTTTGATTAACTTTTTTCATAATAATATAATTCACTTTTACCATATATAAAATGTAGGATTAAGTTAGTGATTTAAGGGATAACTAGTCACAAATTTATGCAGCTGCTCAAGGGAATTTTACAGAGTGACAAAATAAGCTTTAAATAATTGCCAACTACTCGAAACCAACTGTCAGTTACTTGTTTTTCATTCGTTTGCTGACTATGCTAAATGCAATTTAACTTTTCAGTTACTCTTATCAAGAACAATTGAAAAGTGTCAAGTACAGAATGCCGAAAAAGACAACAACAAGCAAATGCCACATAAAGAAATTTGATGCAGGGCCAGGACAAACAGGACTCTGCCCTTTTGAAATGTAATTGTAATTGAAAGTGAGCTAACAAATTGGATTAACTAAACGTGAGAGAATAAAAGGCAATATGAAAAGGAAAACTTCAAAGCGGAGATCAGAGATCAGCTGCCCGCCCGCCCACTTGACGAAATGGATGCTCTACAATTATTCTCGTGTTTTCACCTGTTCTACCTGGTGTATATCTCTGCTGTAACACCAACAGCAGCACCGACAAGACGGCAACTTTCGCTTGCCTTGGCGGTGTCAGGCGGCAAAACAAAGCCCGTCATAAGGATAACACACACACACACACACACACAATCACGCAGCACACACACAGAATTGGCAAAGCCTGCGTCACTTTCTTGGCCAAGTTGCGCACAGCTATGGCTCAAAAGTCAACAGCTAACAGCTAACAGAGCTAGCAATTAGTGACAAATGAGAGCAGCACGACTGAGCGATACCCTGTATTGGGGTACACAGATGTCATTTTTGGTGAATGGGAAAATGCATAAAATGCTTTATAAGAATGCGATGCGAAAATGGCAAGTCTTACACTCTATGTACTTACTCATATTATAGGGTATATAGGCAAACACACACATACCTACAAAAGTAACTTTAACATCATACACTCACACACACATTTTCCCTTTACCATGCACACACCGATTTCCCCCCTCACACCCTCACTAGATTTCCTAGTGATATTCCCATTGCCATCTCCATTCACATTCGTCGTTTATGTTGACGTAGATTTAATTACAATGTTTGCGCCACTCGGGCGCTGCGTCTACGTTTACGTTTACGTTTATGCCACTGTGCCACTTGTTTGTTGCATGCTTCTATGCACCTGCCCCTCTAACCGCATTCCGCAGAGCTTGCAGTTCGCTGCATCAACAGTGGAGTCTGTCTGAGCGTCTGTCTCTGCTGCTAGTTCTGCTTCTGGCTTCAGGCTCTGGCTGCTGGCTTTTGGTCTGTTTTTGTTTCTAGATCTGGTTCTGTATGTATATGGTAGTATACCTAACTGGGTTAGAGTAGCTGCCGCTTTTGTTTAACAACAAACAAGCGACGCGCGGAGTGAAAATCTCACACGTTGCATCCTCTCATCGGCAACGCTGTCGTCTGCTGCTGCTACTTTTATGCACTTTGCAAATTGAATTTTCCACTCGCATACGCAGGCGAGCTTGCCATAAAAAGGATGTTAGGAACAAAGGTCCTGTCAAGAAATGCTGGCAAATGCCATTTTCGTTGCTCAGGCTTACACTCACTTTTTGCACTTGCCAGTAAAGCGTGTTTTTTGTTTGTTTTTTTTGTTTAGTATTTTCTAAGTAATGCACTGATATCATTTCCAGGTAAATAAACATTTATTTAACTACGTAGTCGGGTTATAAGTCAGCTTCAATTTAAACAAGATATTTATTCTGACAATTTGGTTTATTTATTTTGAGAGTAAAATAATCTTTCAAAACTACATTCCTTAAATAATTTAAAATCAAAGCACTAGCGAGTCTATATCCAGTCATATCCTTAAAATCCTGCAAATTCCTGCGCAAAAAGTTCAAAATTTTGGTTTTCATTTTATTGATGCCAATCGATAGTACTGATCTTACGAGTCCAAAATTCCAAAATCGGGCATTATTTGGCCGAGATATTCAAAAAAAAGGTATGATATTTCAAAATTAGACTTTATTTACCTGAGATATTAAAAAAATAATCTAAAAAGTTTTGATTTTCGAACCGACCCCGATTTTTATAAAAAACACAATTGTAATTTGTCTGATCCTTACATTTTTATTGCAGGTCGAGTCAGCTGTTACATACGATCCTAATACACCGAATACCTTGGAAATCTGCAGGTATTTAGCCGACCAATGGATATTTTTCTTATACAAATATTAATCAAAAATTGGGCCATAGCTGTGCCATTTCAGGGCCGATCTTGATGTCCTTTGACCAACAGCTAGTCGTCATCTCCACAACTCAGAATATACAAACAAAGGCGAACGTTTTTAAGCAGCTGGGAAAAGTATATATTTGTTTATAAACAAACTATTTGTATTAACCGAAGCTATCAAGTGGGCAAAGATTATCACTATTGTCCTTGTGGTTTTCGAGGTATGAATGAAGGAGTATTTATTTTTTAAAAGGACATTTATGCTGTCCTTTGGTCATTAGCTAGCCCTTATCTGTCAAATCCAGCATATACAATGAAAAGGACGAATGTGCCTCAATAAGCTGAAAAAGGAGAAATTTATATGTACACACAATTGCCCATAATTCCGCCATATCCTTGCGGTTCCTGACGAGTCTTGTGTCGAACAACTCTCAGTAAAGAGTGCTACCAGTTTGCCAAAGGACATCAAAATCGTCCTTATAGTTTCCAAGATATCATATATTTGTCGAATCCTTAAATTTTTAAATGCAGTTCGATGCAGATCGTCCTTACGATTCCAACGCACCAAGTCCTTTGAAAATCCGCCAGGATATGGCTTGGCTAGAGCTATTTTTCTAAAAAGGACATTTTATTTTTAGTCATATCTTGGTCATATCCTTAAGGATATCGGAAGGATATACCTTTTTGAACTCGTAGGGAGCAGGACTATCGACTGGCATTCAAGGATTTCCAGATTTCAACAAAAAATTTCATCAAAATTTTTCACAGGGGTTTAGTCAGAAAATTGGCTAAATTCAAAAATTTCAGGGCTAACTTCGCCATTTGAAGGACTATCGGGATGTCCTTTACACAGCTGAATGTCCTTACCCTCCCATTTAAGAATATACAACCCGAAGGACGATAGTCCTTCAAACGACAAAGTTTTAAGGACATTTTTAGCTACAGAAAATAGGCCATTACTCGGCTATATCCTTGCGTATCCTGGCAGGACATGTGTCAAAAAAATTGTGCTGGCCAGGTCCACCAACTGGCCAAAGGACATCAAGATCGTCCTTGTAGTTTCAGAGATATAGCGATTTTACTGAAATTTTGTGATTTCAGTCGATTTTCCTTGCGGCCCGCGACTGAAAAATGACCAAGTCCAGGATTCTTAGATGACCCCATAATGTTTTAATGCACTTCGATGCAGTTAGTCTCCACGATCCTAACGCACCATGTCCTTTGAAAATCCGCAAGGATATGGCTGAGTTATGGCTATTTCTTTACTTAAAATACATTTATATTTTTCGAATGACATTTTTACTTTAAATGTGTTTTTATATTTTCAGATTAAAGAATTCAAGGACTCTAATCGATTATAAAGATTTCCGCAAATTCAAAGACGTTCTTTTTGCCAGGATCGAACTAAAATGTTTGTAAATGTTTTTGGTACCTAGTGGACACATATATCCTTGGCTATTCAGTACCAGGGATATAGTCCTAGTGAACCTAAAGGACCTTATTCTAGCGAAATTGGCAAGAATATGGTCAAAAAATATGTATGCTTTCTCTTTCAGCAAACCTTGTACATGCAGCTGTTACTTAACAGCCGTCTTTACAGCACTCATTTTACATGAGTTACTGCTTAACATTACTCATTTTAAATGAGTAACATTTTTGCCCCTTACGCGTATGCAACAAAATGTTTTACTCGTAGATTTCGTCGACCTTCTGGGTATTTCTGTTCGCCTGGTATTTTAGAAGAATTTAAGAAAAATCTTGGCAGCCAGCGGCCGCAAGCAGACAGATTTTAAATGACCGTTGATTTTTGAATTTGTTGCAATCCCTTATCCCTTGGAAGTAAAAAGACGGGAATTTGTTTATTAATTTTAAATTCATTTATTTTTGTGAAAATTATTATGTATTTTCAATGGTAACTCAAAATAACTATATCTGGCTTAATAAACGTCAGATCCTGGAAGAAGTAGCCGCGTTAGATTCGTAAAACTTCTTAGAGCCAACAAGAATCCTTGAATCCTTTAATCTAAAAAGATAAAAACACATTTAAAGTAAAAATTTCATTCGAAATACATAAACGTATTTTAAGTAAATAAATAGCCATAACTCAGCCATATCCTTGCGGATTTTCAAAGGACATGGTGCGTTAGGATCGTGGAGACTAACTGCATCGAAGTGCATTAAAACATTATGGGGTCATCTAAGAATCCTGGACTTGGTCATTTTTCAGCCGCGGGCCGCAAGGAAAATCGACTGAAATCACAAAATTTCAGTAAAATCGCTATATCTCTGAAACTACAAGGACGATCTTGATGTCCTTTGGCCAGTTGGTGGACCTGGCCAGCACAATTTTTTTGACACATGTCCTGCCAGGATACGCAAGGATATAGCCGAGTAATGGCCTATTTTCTGTAGCTAAAAATGTCCTTAAAACTTTGTCGTTTGAAGGACTATCGTCCTTCGGGTTGTATATTCTTAAATGGGAGGGTAAGGACATTCAGCTGTGTAAAGGACATCCCGATAGTCCTTCAAATGGCGAAGTTAGCCCTGAAATTTTTGAATTTAGCCAATTTTCTGACTAAACCCCTGTGAAAAATTTTGATGAAATTTTTTGTTGAAATCTGGAAATCCTTGAATGCCAATCGATAGTCCTGCTCCCTACGAGTTCAAAAAGGTATATCCTTCTGATATCCTTAAGGATATGACCAAGATATGACTAAAAATAAAATGTCCTTTTTAGAAAAATAGCTCTAGCCAAGCCATATCCTGGCGGATTTTCAAAGGACTTGGTGCGTTGGAATCGTAAGGACGATCTGCATCGAACTGCATTTAAAAATTTAAGGATACGACAAATATATGATATCTTGGAAACTACAAGGACGATTTTGATGTCCTTTGGCAAACTGGTAGCCCTCTTTACTGAGAGTTGTTCGACACAAGACTCGTCAGGAACCGCAAGGATATGGCGGAATTATAGGCAATTGTGCGTACATATAAATTTCTCCTTTTTCAGCTTATTGAGGCACATTCGTCCTTTTCATTGTATATGCTGAATTTGACAGATAAGGGCTATCTAATGACCAAAGGACAGCACAAAAGATATCAAAATAGCCAATTTTGTGATAAATGTCCGTTTGAAAAATAAATACTCTTTCATTCATACCTCGAAAACCACAAGAAAAATAGTGATGATCTTTGCCCACTTGATAGCTTCGGTTAATACAAATAGTTTGTTTATAAACAAATATATACTTTTCCCAGCTGCTTAAAAACGTTCGCCTTTGTTTGTATATTCTGAGTTGTGGAGATGACGACTAGCTGTTGGTCAAAGGACATCAAGATCGGCCCTGAAATGGCACAGCTATGGCCCAATTTTTGATTAATATTTGTATAAGAAAAATATCCATTGGTCGGCTAAATACCTGCAGATTTCCAAGGTATTCGGTGTATTAGGATCGTATGTAACAGCTGACTCGACCTGCAATAAAAATTTAAGGATCAGACAAATTACAATAGTGTTTTTTATAAAAATCGGGGTCGGTTCGAAAATAACAAATTGAAAAGATAATATATATGAAAATGTGAAATTCTTATTTCAATAAAAATACAAGATAATTGTACTCACTGTTTCTTTAAATTGTTAAAGTCTCGCTCACAGGCCATGGCCAAGGGATGATTGTCCGCGTTTTGTACAGACTGTGTCCATATGCATGCACCTACATGTTAATGTTTTTATGTGCCGCTCACTTGACCCAGTCTTCGACTTTGTTGTCCATTTGGCGTGCGCTTTTCCAGCCACTAATTGCTTGGAAAATATGCTCACTTCCACACGACAACATTTCAATGGCAGCCGCAACAATTTCAACAGAACGTCGGCTGTAAAAGCTGCACAATATTTAAATACGAATACGACGTGAGGCTGAAGGAGCGGAGAGAAAATCTCTTTGCCCGGTTTTAAATAAAGACGAGACTGTTTTCAGTTGTTGCCATTCAGTTTTCCACTTCGCACGTGTTTGTGTGTATGTGTGCCATATGGGTTTCGGAAATTTGTGCCGTTTTTGCGATTACGATTATGTGCTTGGCCGCAGTGCTGTGTGTTCAAATACCCTGTAAATAGACGGAAGGGTGAGTTTATTCCTGAAAAATATATGAAACTGGGATCAGTCCTGCACAAGCATCCAGCTTTATCTTAACATGTTTCTCTTGATATATATAATAAGTTTTTTGAATAAAGGATACATAATATGTTTCTTGAATTAGGTATATGTTAAAGTTTTTCAATCTGGTCAGTTATTATTTGGTTATTTATGGTGTGTCCCATTCCGTGACGATCTCTCAGATCGTTGTCCTTGAAAGTTGTATCCTTTCGGTGGCATTGTACTGCAACTATACAAAGAAGGGCAGAAACTATCAAGCTTATTAATATACATATGCTTAATAATTAATATTATTTTTACAGAGTTATTTGTAAGTTTTATTTAATTGTAAACTTTTGCATACATTTACATACAACTATATGTTACATAGATATGCCAAAACTCATTCACATACAGCTGCACAATACATATGTTTATGAAATCATAATGTACATATATATATATAGACATACAATTAAATGAGCTTCTTTACGCTTTTTATGTACGCTTAACATATATACTTATAATGCATATACATATATATTTTGTATATATATTCAACAGCAATTCATTAGTTTGTTTTAGGTTTATATAAGTAAGTACTAAATGCTGATTGGATATTTACTGTCTACTTAATTCGCTTGTAATAGTTTATATATATTTAATTTTTTCAACATTTTAACATTTATTTAACTGTCATTATTTAATACCTAATTATATTTACACGGTTTGAAAGCATAACTTAAAGTTTTATATTTTGTTACTAGATTTTCCTTAAACAATACTTAAATTTAGGCATTGGTTAATTTAGTTGAAATAGTTGTTTTTCTATTTACAGCGCAGAGGAAGTAATACAATTATTAAATTTTTAATATTTACATGTGCTCTTACGACAAACAAAATTATGAAATCAAATAAGAAGTGTAAAAAAATTAAATAAATACATTTGCCTTCCCTTATAAGGTAAGGTATTATCAAGCAATTTGCTTGCCTTCCAATTAGCACATAAACAATGAAGTATTGATATAATAATCCGTATCACTAACTAATATATGACTATGTTAAACATATATATTTTCTGCATATCGTGTGTCTTTAACTTCTTTGTTTTTTTGTTTTCTATTTGTTTGTTTTGGTTTTTATTTACGCTACATTTTACTATGTAAATTCGCTATGTATGTGTGTGTGTTTGTAAATATGCTCATCTAAATGCAAATTTGATTAACAGTGTTTTTCATATTGCTATGAATTTATATTGTTTAATATAATTAATTTATGTTCATTTAATAGGCATAGCTTTTGTTTGAACTTTACATGCTGAACCACCAGTTATGTCTCTCATTTAGAGAGATTCACTTTTGTGTTTGTTTGTTCTTTTACTGCTTTTGTGCATATTTCATAAATTTATTTGTGTATAAACATTTCCAGTTCGCGCATATTTGAATTGATTTGAAAATTAATTGCATGCCGAGCAAACAAACATTTCCACTTTAATTTTGTTAATATTTCCACAGCAATTGGCTTTTGGCAGTTCGCATTCGAAACGCATTCAAGATGAACCACTAATGATAAAAACATTTTGAAATAAATATGTAAATTATTTCACATAGCAAAGTGAAATGGTGTTGCAATTTGGAAATTTAAAAGTAAATAATAATAATGATAAAATGTTTGCCCACAGCATTGAATGCCATATGCACTATTTACTTGCTAAATTTTAGGTTACGTTTGACAAATTATTTTAAATTATGAAAAGTTAGAACATTTTATGTAAGTGTTAGTTTTATTAAAAAAAAAATATATATTTATGTAATTTATAAAGTCTTTAGAAATAAAAACAAAACCTTCAACCTTCAAACGATAAGAAATTTTAATTGACAAATTAAATATTTAATTGAAAATGTTTACGCTAATTTATTTTTTCAATTATAAATAACTGATGATTTAAAAAAATAAATATACAACAATATTTTTGCCTGCAAATGTGAAATAGTTGTAAAGTAGTTAATTAGCTTTATCGAAATGCGAATGCACTTCGAAACTGAACATGAAGAAGGAAAACTTAATATCCAAGTGGTGATTGGCAATTAAAAGCCAAGGGAAAAACTCGCAATGCCAATTGCTGTTTGGCTGACTATTCATTTAATCAACAGTCGCTCAGAGCGAGTGCCATTTAACATGATATTCATTTTACGCGCGCAAGCATAAACTTATCTACGATTATAGCTATACATGTATACTATATACGACATATATACGCATGTAGTTCAAGTATATAGGGTATATGAGTATGAGGGTGTCTCTATGAGTATTTCTAGTGCTGCCTTGCACAACTTTATTCTGTTTCTTACTTGTCTAAGTTTGATTCTATTTTTCACGCTCTTGCCGCGCTGCTTTTTGTTGAAATTGTTCTTGTTGTTTTTGTAGCTGTTGTTGTTGTGCCCTAAATGAGTTTTTTGCAATTATTTGATTTCATCTTGAATACTGGCGCTGGCAAAGCACAGCAAATGTGTTTGGCTTGGTTGCTGTTAGCCCCATTGTTGTTGTTATTGTTGCTGCTCCTGTTGTTGTATAAATTTGCGGCAACAATGCGGCAACCTTATTACCAACAGCCCAAAATGTTAACATTAAATGTTGCCTATGCGCCGCACTAATAGAAAATGCGATGCGGCTGCCGATAAAATGCAGCAAAAGCAAAAGCAACATCAACGGCAACGGCAGCAGCAA